GAGTTGAAGTCCATACATCTTAAAGTTGCCAAGGTTGAGGAACCCTGCTCTATACCAGTGTTTCTCAACCAAGGAAGGCTGGCTAGGGAATTCTGGGAGTTGAAGTCCATACATCTTAAAGTTGCCAAGGTTGAGAAACACTACTCTATATAAAGGGAAAGCAGCAAAAGGGAATGCAAACTGAAAGGGGTCTTAGTTTATTAAATGTGTCTAGGCAGGTGTTTGGCAGAGTGAACAGATACAAAAAGTGACCATGAGAAAAATCTGGGGAGTACGTTGGAGCTTTATGCTGGCTATGCAAACCTGATTTTAGTTCTTTAGTAAGTAATTGGGAAACATGTAAATATCAGACATGTTTTACATATGTGTGTGTGTGTAATAAGGTAAACAGACTTGAATCATGGAATGTTTTAGTTGCCTATCAAGGCTGATTGGAAGTGAAGCATGCATGTCATTAAATGGAATGCTTAGTAAATGATGTAAGGAGGGATTGAATGCAATAGCAAGTCACCACTGCAAAAGAAGTTAAGCTTGAGGTGCTCTGCATTACTTTGTTTACCAAAAGCGAATAGCATGATGCATACGTACATATGTATGAGCTGTCTCAAATTATCTAGACTGTATTCATAGGGAAATGACTCAGTAAGAATAGCAACTAATACATTCCAGAATAATGACATGTCTTGAATAATTAAGAAATAAATTTGCACATTGATCTCTGCAGTGAGAGGTGAGAATAAGAGAGAAAAGAGACTTTATCTGATGCATTTCCAAAGAAAACACAGCTCAGCAATCACAGAAGGGGGCCCAGAAGGGCTCAAGACTCCTCTTGTTGAGCAGAGGGAAGGTAGACTGTAACTGCCAGTTGTGCCGGCTTGGTGGAGCACACATTGTGTAAGGCTGTTTTCAACCTATGTGGGGAGTGACTCTGTTCATCCCTCTGGAATGCATCCAACCAAAACAGGGGCTTGGGGCCAATTGGCTGGTGACCAAATATGCCTCTTTCATTTCTGCTGCTAAGTTATTTATAAAACATGCCTTAATGACATTAAGGAAACACCCTTTTTATTTCTTTTAGTCGGAATTTAGGGAGAAAGAAAACCAAGTTCAGATTTTAGCAAATCTTACATAGACTTGTATCTGTGGTGTTCTCTAGGCAATTAGACATATCACCTTTTCAAAGAGCCCTTCTTTCACCCTTCTTCTAGCTGACAGAACTTGAAACTCTTTTGATATACCCGTCACTGCTTCTTTACTACATGTTTACACTGAGGAACCACTCCTTTCAATGAATAAACACCAAATGAATCATTAAATTTTATGCTGAAGGATAGAGATGTAAACTGAAGGCGAGGCCTTCATGTCCCCCTCTGCTTTTCTTGCCCTAGAGTTTCCTCCTGCTAGCATGAAAGAAAAAAAATTATAAATCTGAGAAGTTAAGAGAAACTTCTTTTTCTGCTGCTTATGGACTATTCTAGGATTCTTATTTCATTCCTGCCCTCAGTTTTTGAATCCTATTATTCTCATTCCCACTATAATATGGCTGCGTAGCTTCCTGCAACCCATTATCTATTTTTCCTGTTCCTTCTTATTCTGTCCTCCTCTTCCCTCCCAGTCCCTTACATCTCCTCTGCTCACGTATTTTCATGTGTAACTAAAATCCAAAATAGGTTGGACCAGTTTATTTCACCCTATTAGACGCCTTTGAAAGATGAACAGTTATTCTAAGGAACACAACATTTTAAAAACTGTCAGCAAATCAATCCAGTATGAATTTCTCTCAACTTCCCCACTACTACCATCAAGATTTCTTAAGTTACATACATCATCATGCTATGCTTATGTGTTTTGTGGTATCAGAACTTCTACATAGGATAGTCCTCAAACCATATATAGGAAGTTAAATCTGACTTTGGGAACAGGGAAGAAATAAGTGAACCATTAAGAGAAGAACTTTGAGAAAATATTACTCAGTCCTAAGAAAAAGGAAAGTGTGAGAAAGAAAATCAAAATAATCCTGCCTTGATTTTGATTGTTATAAGATGGAAACTTGAACAGGCTTTCAAATCCTGTTATCTACCTTGTAACAATAAAGAACATTCCTGGAATCCCTGCTGTGCCTGTTTCTTGACCTGACCTACCTTGGAGGGCTGACAGATCTCTACCTTGAATTCTTTGACTACATGACTTGCAATTTCTTGAGGTCATTATA